ATGATAGCGATCTAGGGGTGGACCTAAAAATCACCGGAAAAGGTAATGATTTTGAGATTGGAAATAAAAGAGGATTGCCCGGATGTTGCGATGATTTGGAAATCTCGTGCTTTTATTTCAGCTGTAAGTTGAAGACTAAATACCTAAGATCGACGCCTCTTGTTCCAAAATTGATAGCATCCCTTTTCCCGTGCGGAACGGCTTCGCGTACCCGCACAAAATAAATTGTCTGTAAATCTGTGGATTACGTTGGAGGCAAAGAAAGAAAGAAAGAAAGAAAGAAAGAAAGAAAGAAAGAAAGAAAAATATATTCTAAGACGTAGTAAACATCATTGTTTTGCTAATAATAAAAGTAAGAACGTTTAGTTGGCAATTCCATCGTGTTTGCGAAAATATAAATATTTATTACTTACATGTTTCAAAAATATTCTACTACCTTACAGATGTCAGTCCCCATGTGGGGTGAAAGAGGAAAAATATTATGTATTACTCATAACGAATACCGGTTATAAAACCGTTGCAATATGAGGAGAAAATTTAGAGCGGTTTTTGAGAAAAATATTACCAATATTTCGCGCAAAATTACACGGGAACTACTCATATTTTCATGAAAAATTGAACACGAACATATTTAAAGATCCATCTTAAGGAACAGATTTCGGTGAGGAAAAAATCTCTATCTTCAACATTATACTAGTAAGAAAACACCCCCAAAATAATGAGCTTTTTTAATTTTCAAAAAATATGTGATTTCAACGAACATGAGATCACCGTTCTCTTAAGAATTCTATTCGCTATACGAAGACAAATTTTGATCAACAAATTTGGTGCGGTTTTTGAGAAAATTTTGAAAATGTTTTGGAGACTTCAAAAGTACTCTCAAAAATCAAAATAACCGTTTGAAACTCTCAAAGCCACGAGTTCATTCATATCTTACGAAGAATTTCGTAAGGCGAGGAAGTAAAAAACCAGCGCGTGCGGCCTGAGCTCCATCGCAGAATCGTAAGCACAACGCGTACCTATACTCAGGAGGACCCCCGAGTGATTAGTGTCATAACTGGACACCTGACAACGCCTAGTGTTCTACGTAATACCGACATTTGAATTAGAATACAATTATAACAAGACAACTGATATAGTAATTAATGAACATATGAATGCTGAAAGATCAGAAAAACACATCATCCAAGATAATCCAACACTTCTTAAAATTCTAATACATTCACAGAAAAGCACTAGTTATAACTCTTGCATGTTAAAATCCACCCTCTCCTCTATCCTTGGATTTCCATATTAACAGGGAAAGTGGTTAACAAAAGGTATTTATTTCTTTAAAAAATTTATTAGGTTACTTGCAATGAATTTATAGAAAATCAAATAAAGAAACAAAATTTACGTTTGAAACCAATTTTAAAGTAAGGAATATGCAATGTTATTGGCAGATTTTCTTGGAACAATTCACAGCCATAATACTTACAAACTTACTTCTAATTACTTAAAAACATTTGAAGTAATTAGACAGCCTTGCTTGACAGTTGGCTTTACAATGCGAGGAATGTGTCTGAGATCACTGCCTCCAAATTTCAGATTTTAAGGTCCTAGAACGCTTTGTTTACGAGTTTACTAAATAAATTTAAACAATGCTACCTCGAGTTGCGGATTGCATTTGACTTGTATATTTAGACGTGTCTGTTTTCAACAAATCCTTCATATTTTAAAATCAAAGTAAAGTTCGTCACCTCACTGTGAAATTTTCTTTCTTTAGAGACCTCATTTATAAAAACTGGTAACATGAGACAGCCACGAAACTCATCTATAATACTCAAATAATATAAGAGGGCAATAATTTACATAATATGAACAATAAACCATGAGATGAAGTAGCAGGTTCTGGACTATCGTACATGGTGCCAACTGTATTTCTTATCTTGTCAGACAAAGATTTGACATCAATTCCATCTAACAATAAAACTAAGCAATGTTTTGAATTTCTCCTCAGCACACCTCAAAATATTATTATCTGCTTGCTCTTACTGTTTGTTGTTTTGGGGAGGCAACATATCCAGATTTCTTCAAAAATGTGCATGGTATTATTTCCCAGCTTTTTCAACGCAATTTCATAACTGAAAACGCGGACTTGAAAATTTCACCGAATCACTGCTGATAACAAAAATACTGGCATTGGTAAAACCAATCCTAACAAGACACAGTCTTCGCTCTTCACTGTACTCAATTGTCCATTCTTTGCCAATATTGTATCTTTCTTCTTTCTTGACGAAGAACATCAAAAGATACTCTTTTGTTCTCTCTGAACACACAGGCAAATTCGTGCGTATGGCTACTTTCTCGAGTCTTGGTCATCCCATTGTACACTGCAGCTCCCTTCGTGACTTTACTTCATAGCATAAGGAATTGCAGCGAATTTCATTTTTATCAAAATGAAATGCATCCAGCTTCAAAGAAATAAAAGAAGTAGAATACACAGGGTATAACAATTATTTCTCTTAAATAACTTATATCGTAGTTCCTTCTTCAATGGTCCACACAGCCCTTGCAGAAATGGGAAGTCAACGGTTGCACAAAATGCATAAAAAACAATCTTCACCAGTATCAAGTAATAATTAATACTACTAGCTACCGCAAGCCAACTACTAGCTAAGCACTCCGAATCAACCTTGAATTTTAATACTGAATTGAATTATGATTGAATTTGAGTTTTACTTTTTTTTTTTTTTAGTTAAAGAAAGGTAAATTCCCTACCCACCGCCAATAAAATAATCATAAATATAATTTCCCTACCCTGTCCAGGGGGAAATCCAGTCCCTCAACCCCAATACAATTTTTTCAGTGGCAACGCCGCTCGCGCCGGAAAGATTAGTATTAAAATTTAGATAAACAGAGATTTTGGATATCTGATAAAATCAATAATACGTGTAAAAATAATTATAATAAAGATAGAGGCATGATGGGACGGTCACAATAGCAAGTATAAAAACTACTGTAAAATTTGCGAATGAAGAGGCCGCCCCCTCTGAATAGAAATTTGGTCGAGTTGTTTACATGAAAGTACCAGAAGGATGAAACAGAAAAGAGAAAAGTACTTCACATAAAATGTTTGTGCACACTTTCTTAAGAAGCAAACTGTTGTAACAAGTTTTCAAGTATATTATAAAAAACAGGTTTGAAGGTAACCAAATTGGATCCTTGTGTATTAAAAGGAAACAATAAAGGAAAATTCGTACTACAGGATATTTTAATGGCAGTATTATGATTGGAGAAAGAAGCAGAAACAATTTAACTGATGAATAAATTGACAAATAAATCAACTATTATGAAAGTAAAACACTGAATAACTGATACAATGTAACTGATCTTCAGACAAAAGTGAATATTTTAACAATGAAACTCAACATATACAAAACCTAGATAAAGAATAACATATAAAAAGATAAAGAATTACATGAAAGTACCAAAACAGGATCACCTAGAGAAAGATACAGTCCAGAGAACTCCGATGAAGAAAACTTAGTAGCCAGAGAGACAGACTGGCTTTTACGAAAATATAAGAAAATAAAAGCTTCAAGTTCACCGGAAAAAAACTTACCCTTGGAAGAAAATAGAGTTGTACAGAATTCCAAGCCAAAAAAGACAACACCATCACCAATAACACTGAGCGGTGTGGAAGACTATAGTAAAATCCTTCAGAAAATGAAGACTAAAAATCTTAAACCTTCAGGTGTTATGCTGAACAATCAAGAAAATTAAATTCAACGTGGAATCAGAATATAGGAAACTGACAGAATATTTAAACAAAATGAAAATGAAATGGCATACCTATGAGAAAAAACAAAACAGGCCAATAAGAGTCAATGTAAAATGTCTGCATCCTACATGCACAGAGAATTTCACAACTTCAAGAACCTAAGAAGATTGTTACTACTAACTGTAGTAACAATAAAATGTGTGAAGCCACATCTGAATATTCGTGCAATCTACTGCCCTCCAAGGCACAATATTCAGAGAAAGGAAAACAAACAATTCCTAGAACACATAGGGGAGCAATTTATAGATGGGCCAAACATGTGGACTTAGGATCTAAGCTGACCACCAAGAAAGGCAGTGCACTGAGGGAAGCAATGAGAAAGTGGATGCACTTTTCATTCTACAGGCAAACCTAAATATTGGCCTTCCACCCAATTTTTTAGACTTCTTTATATCTACGAAAGTGACACCAAACTTTTCGATATTGAAGAAAATATTGATCTGAGCCCCGAACACTTAGCTGTGATTAATAAACAAGACAACTGACTGGGAGAGCTGCAAAATTCAACTGGAAAATAATATTAATCTTGGAACTGAGGTAACCAGCGAGCACTAATAAAAAAAAATAAAAAATACTCATTTCGCTATGCACAAATCATGTTTAAAGTATGGAAATACTTAAAATATATGCAGGAATACAGATAGGATCAAGAAATATCCAAACATAAAAATCACTTGAAAATGAGAACTTGATTCCTATAAGATCAAAGAATAACATGATAAAATCATAAAATTGCTTCAACAAAAATTATCTTGTTAGAAAAGAAAGTTTTAACAAAGATGCACCACCACTTGGAAACAAATATTTATCATGTCGTTGAGCTCTGAAGAACAAAACAAATTATAAACGAACCTTATTTAAATAAACATGCACAAAGAAAAACAATTCAAAAACATGTAACCGGTGAATGCCAAAAACATTAATAGTAAATAAGAATAAAATCACAGAAACCCATTCTTGAATTATGGAAAATAATTCTGATCAAGAAGTGTTATCAGCATGTATATAATATAGTAATGAGTAGTAGAAGAGATATTTGATCTTTCTACCAAGATCAGTAGTCCAGAAGATAATTTTCGTGCTGATTCACATCAGAAGCCCCCAATATCTGTATTTGTAGTAAAAAAAAGAACCAACCAACAAGAGAATAAATTTATTCAAATACCATCTGACTTACATGAAAGTAAGGACTGCTTGCAGATAAAACCAGCCTATGAGCTTTCAGGTTCTGACCTTCAGCAGATATAGTGCAATCAACCAAAAAATTGCTCTCCAACAACCTTTTATAAACCGTTGCAAGTTCACTGGCGTGTTCATTCCAACAAATTGACAAAACTGAATCAGCCATGTTAAAATTGCCCTGAAACAATTCAAAACAAAATTTTTATGAACTAATAAAAAACATACGTAAATAGAAGACAAGATCTCTTCAAGAGAGTGTACAGTTACAACTAAATAAAAAAATTTTCAGTGACTCCTGTACCCACATTGCTGGAAAAATATGTGAAATATTCAAAAATATTCACATGATCTACGATCTAATTAATGCCATTGACTCTAATATCTAAAATATTCTAAATGCTTTTTATGAGAGACAAGTACATTTGTGATTAGTAATAATTGAAACTAACCCTGATGGCAGACCAGAAACCCACCATTGTAGATCCACAAGATAGAGAACTGATTACGAGGAAAATAATTAATTCTTTATAACCTTTTATAAGACAGTTAAGTCTGAAAAATAATGAAAATTAATTGTACAAGAGTAAAAATGGATGGTATAATAAAAATCTAAAATTTGGAAAAAAAATATATAAAATGCTATGAAAGGCTTCACATGCCTACATTGGAATTTAAGGAAACATAAAACAGCTGTGATCATGAAATTTGTTTCGGAAAGCATCTGCATTATGCTCAGGTCATTCAAAAACTGTTAAGGATATAAAATTGTATTTACAATATATATGATGGAGAACAATATGAAGTGAGAATATAATTTTTTCATTACAATTTGTTGTTGAATACATGTGTATTAATAAACAATAAAAACATATATACCATAATTCTTCAAGTGTTACTTTTTCGAATCTAGAACTACACAAATCAGTTCACCTAGATATAAAATGGATATGGATGTTTTGATATGCAACAAAAATACATAAATAGACATGATTTACATGCAGTAACAAAAGTTTAATTGAATGAACATGTATGATTGGTTGAACTTTATTAAGGCTTCATTCTCCCAGAGCATATCTAATAAGCATGGTTCTCGCAGGTTACAAGTTTATATCGCAATTTAAATTAATATGCATAACAGATAACCTCCTGAAAGAAATAAAATGAATTCTTCCCAAAAACTTAAACCTTCACTGCATGATTTTTTATTTATACTTGCAATAATTAACTTCATTACATTTATTTTAATTAACAGAAAAATAATAAACAAATTCAGAAGTAATTATTGCCTGAGAAAAACACAAAACTAAATTATGTTACTCCTGAGTGTGGATCATAATCCATCCTTGTAGTAAGGATATAAGATACTGCTACTCTGCATGTTGTTTCTGGATTATATATAGAATAGTAAAAATTATCAAAAATATCATAATGGAAGAAACAGATTAATTTTTATATAAAATATATTATAATCACTTAGATAGAATTTTAATATTTTAAAGAGATTTTAATAGCAGAGTTGAAGGAAACAATTAGTTTCAGCTTTGGTTGATTTTACCTGTTTGTAAGTTTTCTGTTTGATCAGGTGATCAGGCTTCAATATATTACTAAGTTTGAAGAAATAAGAAAACCTTTTATTTTTCAAGAATGTGCTCATCAGTTTTGAGATCTTCATCCAGTCATTTTCACAAATTAGAGAATATTATTAATATAATATCATCCTCATTGTCATATGGTAAATTCAAAATATTTATTATTTCCAGTACCGATACCTTCAGTTTTATGACATTTCATCACTCCTCTCACAATACATTTAAATTAGAAGAAAACCATATCCAAGTAAAAACAATGTGACAATACGACAGGATCAAAAATGCATTTTGGTAGCGTACCGCGCATTGTGTTGCACCTATTACAGAGCAAAATATGCAATATTTCACGATTTAAAAAATTTACTTAATTTTCAAATTGTGACTGTGAAAAAAAAAGTACCAAATAATATCATTTGTATTTTGTAGGAAAAATACAAATTAAAAAGGTTTCGTTTCTGGTATACGGAAACAGAGTGTCACCAGGAAGTTTCGATTCATAACGCCACTAATTACTAATACTAACACTTCAACTCATATCTTATCGCGTTTACTGTCCACTTGCGTTACGTTAAGGTGACATTTGCGCACGATGTTCTGTACACGGTTCTATAGGCACGGCTCACGGCTGCCGAACTATACGAGTTAATGTGTATGTGTATAATTCTTGCGACTATAGCGTCAGTGCTGCACTCAAACGGTTGGCTACAATAATAAAGTACGTGGTGAGTACGGGAAGTCGTGGTAGGGGTGATGACGTAAGATCTCCACCAGTCAGAAACGCCGAATTTTTTTTATGTTTAGTTGTTCCTTTATTGTTCTGTGGTTTAGTCCTGGCGTAATTTACAATTTATATTAGGATTCTGTAGAAAATGTTGGATACCCTGATATACTCTTTGCCCTGATATGAAGATGACTCAGGGTGACAAACAATATAAAATAAAGTGTCTGATTTATTAAAATTAAATCCGAAAAACAATGATACATTATTTTCTTTTAAAATTATAAATAAAAAATTCTCCATGTCATAAACTTTTACAAATATGAATTTAAAAACAATTAAAACATCACACATTCATAATATTCATGTAGTTACTTTCACGGAATCTGAACAATAAATCAAAATCTTAATATCAAATATGAAAACACTTGATATCTCAAAGTGCCCATCTCAATCAGGTTTTCGTCCTGTTTCCCTGATTCGCGAACAAATGCTGACATGGCCCCTTATTTTGCTTCTGAATATAAATGTAACTTCAAATTAAGTTCTCCCCATAGCAGGTCACACACAGTTTTTAACTGTTTTTGACGTAAATAAATAAATAAACGCCTTCAGAAAGAAATATTTCTTCCATCTATCAATATTAAAGTGATCAAATACCTATTTTGTATTACATATTAAAGTTCAATACGGTTAAATATAACATGTCTGTCAATAACAGACTTTTTTGATACAATTGAAGGGAATGAAAACTGCTCTGAGGTATCAAAAATGTCTGTTATTGACAGACATATTATATTTAACCGTATTGAACTTTCATGCACTGCAAATACATTACTCATGAAATTACAATATAATTAGATGAACATGACCAAAATTAATTTCCACATTAATAATAGATCATTTATTAATTATTACTCTCAACTAAACATTTGCTGGCAGTAACAATTCAACCAAGAAAAAAAATTCAGTTCCTTTTTCCACACCCATTCATTTGTAATGTCAAATGCTTAGCAATAGCATTTGACATTACATATGAATGAGAGAAAACCAGAATGGTATAAGTGACATTTCATAAATTCTGAAAAATATGTGTTTATTGTAGGTTATATTTCAGTAGTAATAAATGTTTAAGATTTTTAATGAATCATTGAAATGTCTTGGTTTCAATGATAATAAAAAGCATCATGACTTTACAGTCATATTGACTTAAATAATCAGATTTCTCACAATTTACAAATCACTTATACCGTTCTGGTTTTCACCCATTTATATTAAGCCATGGTTTCAATACTATCATTGAAATGCTTATACAATAATCGTACTTCAAAAAATATTTTACTGGAAAAGCAATGTACAGCAACCAATTCTTTACCCCAAATAATTCAAAATTCGTTTTGTTGATTAAATTAAAAACTTTGAATATACTATAAATTTGAAAAATAAATAATATTTTCATATGAAGCATTTTTTTTCTGCCAGAAGCTTCATTGTTTTAAACAAAATGCAATAGATTAATACCTAAAGTGATTCCATTTTAAATGAAAGTACCTACTTCATTTCATGAATTAGTCTGTTCAATTCTTTCTTTCAATTTATCATTTTCAGTTTTTTTATACAACTTTTCTTATTAATTTATTCTATAATTGAAATGTCTGTTTGAATTTTGCACTAATTTCCAATTTTCATTGTTTAGTGAATTGATGATATTCGTGCTCAAGAACCCAATAGTGACATTCAAGCGAATTTTGAAAACTAGCATCCCCATGCGAGCTCTCTCGCATGTTAATATCCATCCTTTCCCAATCCATTTCCCTATTCTTTCCATTAAGAAGGGCAGTACTTAATAAAACGTGTTCATTTGTTAACAATTATATAAATATAACTTCATTCTTACCTTACTTCAAATATCAAAAAAAATAATGCCATTGAAGTTGCAAACAATATTCCTTCAAACACTTCCTTAAAAACAACATTTATAGTTATTCAATCTTCCTTGACACTCAGCTCTTTGCTTTCTTTGATAGTTACAAAAATATTGGGAAAGGCCTTTACTCTTGACAAACTCAAGTTTTCTATGCGAAAATACAGGATCAGCAAGTACAACCCTACTCTTTGCAACATTATTTATTTTTCCTGGATTTGCTATGAGAAACAGTTTTGGAGGGGCAGGGCGTCAGCTTGCTGGGGTGCGAAAATTGAAAAAAAAAAATTGTATACTAAAAGAACAACAATTCAGTAGACTTCACTTCCGTACATGGTAATGTTGCTGGACATTGATGTACAGACTTCAGATACCGTCAACATTTAAATCGTGTGTCTAGATTGTAATTGTTGGCATTGTCATGTGACTTGCGCTATTCGTTCTTTAATTTTAAATTTGGTTACCTTTTTAAAAGTAATTCACGTAGTATTGTAGGTTAGTGTGTTTTGATTTTTGTTGTTCATTTCTTTCAAACTAATATACTTTAGTTAATTTAAAAAGTTTGTTCTTTGTGTTGTGCCGTAACACAAGTTTTCCCCTACTACCTCCGCATACCTGTTCGAGAGTTCTCACAACTCGTTCTTCCCTATCCTTTTATTTCCATTCTAAGAGGGAAAGTTGTTAACGAAATGTATTTACTTGTTTAAAAATCTACAAGGAAACATTCATTGTACTAACACAATATCAAATAAAAATAAAAAACAATGCGATTGATGTTAAATACTAAATTTTAATAAAGATTTATTTGGTATTATAGAGAGATTTCTTGGATCAATTCACAACCGTTCCATAAAAATATTTTAAGTAATTATTCTACATTCTTTGGCAATTATCTTTTCATTATAGTCACAAAAATATAAAAAAAGCTTTTTACTCTTGAGAAAGCTACGTTACTGAAACCGCTGACTTAAAAGTTTCACCGAACCACTGCTGATAACGAAAATACTGATGCAGGTAAAACACAAACAAATCTAACAAGACACGCCTTCACTCTTCCCTATACACCAACATCCCTCCACAATTAGGTATTATTACAGCGCAACTTTCCTTGAACGATGGATTGAAGAAATGCGGGAAGAGTGGAAGCATTAGTTACATAATCAGCCTCTAGACTTTATGAAGCAATGCCAATTTCTGGAGAATCAGTCGTCTTCACAACTTTTTCAATAATTTGCGTTCTAACTTTCTCAATAGTTCGAGGCATCTCCTGTGATGGATCTTCACGTGCTTCGATCATTTCTTTAGTTTTTTTGGAGAAAATCACGGACAGAAGTTTTCAACAGAAAATAGTTTCTACTTCGCATCAGTGAAGACGTGTTTGAAATGTCATCAATGCTCACTGCGAGCTTTTGTCTTCATCTGTTTATTGTGCCAGAGAGGGGGAAGCAAGGTCATCGTTCAAGAAAAGTTGCGCGAGTAATATCAGCAAAAAAGGTAATTGATTGTTTTCACAACACAAACAATCTTCATCGGAATCAAGGAACTGTTAATGGAACTAGAAATCTTGAATTAATAATTATGCAAACCTCGTCAGTCTGCACAAACCACGGTGTACACAGAATGCGTAAATAGTGTAAGAGGTAATAAGATAAATAATACAAGAGGAATCTAAGCTTTCTAAGCGTGACGTCACAAAGATGGCCACCATCACCAACGGTTAAAATAAGGGTGGCATTTCTAGTATCGATAAGTGCCGAATCAGCAAAAATTTAATAGAATGCTCAAGAATATCTCATCCTGTAGATAATGGTATTAGAAAAATTTGTTTGAGGTCTTTGGCCCTCAAATTGAATTTTTAAGGCCCTAGTTCGCTTCGTTTAGGAGTTATTTAACGATATAGCTGACAGCTGCGGATTGCATTTGACATTGATATTTAATACCATTTTTTAAACAAATTCTACATATTTTTTAGTCAAATTGCAATTTGTCACGTCTCCGTGAAATTTTCTTTCTTTAGATACCCCATTTATAAAGATCGGTTGTGTGTGAGAGCCGCAAAATGTAAGTATACTACTGAAATAATATAGGAGACGATTTGAGAGAGACGATGGGGACGGTTAAAATTTCAACTGTTTCTACTTGAGTTAAGTACAAAAGTTAACCCATTTGTACATTAATGATGTCCTTATTACGAATGAGACAAAATTTGCTTTCTTGACAATGTTGTCACCCGGGGGTTCTAGCTTAATAGGGCTGGGAGGGCATACGATCTCCGCTTGCCTGGAGGCGTTGGTGTCGCAGTGTTAGAAAGAGAAAGCTAATATTAGACAGAGAAGGAACATTAGAAGGTCACGGATGAGACCAAGCACATACGAGTTCTGCTGAAGACATCGAAATCCCCGCGGAAGTCGAAGAGTAATGCTATTTACAGCTAAACAATTAAAAATGTGAATTTTGAAGTTCCTCACAAAGTTTTGGAGTATGACCTTCAATTTCAAAAAAAAAAAAAAAAAAATCAAAGTCAACTCCGAATAACAATTTGCTTTGGTTTGGAACACGCACACAATTACTTCCCTCATCTGGAAGAATGGTTGTAATGTATGAAAGAAAAACAAGAATGTCACTGCTTCAGGTTGGGAATTTTTAGAATAAACTTCATAGCTTTGGTTGTTGCCTTGTCAGACTGAGAGCTTGGGGTTGATGGTTCTGCCTGAAGATCCTGCCCTTGCCATTTCCCAAAGACATAGTTGCATGATGGAAAAGCGAACAAGTGTCGTTTATTATGCCATGTGTGCTCCCGATCCACGGCGAGCCGTGGGGAAGGAGTCCTTTACCTCAGATTTCCTTCGTCAAAGGCAAGACCATTCATTCTGCAAATGAGGAATCCCAGGACGTGAAAGAATTCGAGACAGGGATGAATGCAGTCCGCATTTCAGGGATGGGAATTTAATTGCCCAAAGAAAATTGTGCTGTGGTGCAGTTGCGTGTTTACGTGAGTATATTTCCATGTTATCTTTTAAAAATACAAAAAATCACATATTTCGAAATAAAAAAAATACAGTTATAATGTGCCCAGACCCTTTCAATTATATTCGTATATTTGGATCAAATGCATTTGGTTTGAACTCTTTCACTGAGAAAAAACTAAAATGTAAATTTATTTAACAGAAGGTTCTCTAAGATTGGGTACAGCAATGGAATCTATTACATTATCCCCACAATTATCAGATAACCTTGTTTGAAGTGAAATTCATATTTTGAATAATTTAAAAAAGTATAAATTAATTTTATTCTCACTGTGTAATAGCTCCTGCTGCTGATCTGCCACAAAAGGCGAGGAAGAGATGGTGGCATCAAGGGCAAGGGCAATTGCTTAAAAGAGTTATAATTTAATAGTTTTAGTTTAAAGAATATTTCATTTCGAATCCTACTTCTTTTTAATTAATTTTGTTTTTTATAGAATATGCTTGACGCTGGAGCCTAATATTTATTCTTTAATTGCAAATTGTATACCATTGTACTTTTATGCAGAGATTAGCAGGGAAGTGATGTTGCATCGATTTGTAAAAATACATTTTTACGTGCCCCAGGGTCATTTTCAATTTATTTAAAATCTTGGCAAATAACCCCCCCCTTCTGAAACAACTTGATTGTTTCAAAATTTTTCTAGTGCATTACTTTAATTTGTTTTGTGTGATTGTTGTTTGATTGTGTGGTTGATTAAATATAGAAGTTGTAACAAGTATTGAAAATGAGGTTGCATTATAGTGCTCGCTGCACTGTAAAACATTGTGCATAAAATGTATGTTATTTTTCACCTCTAGTAGAATCTAAAATGACGAGAGCTCATCACAGACAGTAATAACATAATATTATTGTTCTTCAATAATTTCATTGCCGTTTCCATTAAACTATAATTTATTAATATCGTGTATAAATTGTATTTAGGCCTCATGATAAGCTACAGCTACTATCTGAAAACAAATAACGTCTTGGCATTCTAAGAGTGGCTAGGTAATAGAATGTTGACACATAATGAAACGAGAATAACTAAATAGTTTTACTACCGTAGTTTACAAATAGTCTGTATTATTTCAGTTATATACATACTTTTTGTGGCTCTCACACACAACCAGTCTTAATAAATGAGGTCTCTCAAGAAAGAGAATTGCACTTTGACTTTAAAAATATGGATTTGTTTAAAATCGCATCCAAATATTCATGTCAAATGCAATCCGCAGCACTCAGTAAGATATTTCGTCAAATAACTCTTAGAATGAATGCCACGACTTGGGCTTTAAAATCTCAAACTCTGAGGCCCCAAAGAAATGTTCCTTATACCGCAATCTACAGGATGAGATATTCTTGGACATTCTATTAACCCTTCAGCGTGGTATGCCGTCTGTACACGGCAATTTCTTTTTTCTTCTAAACGCGGGATGCCGTACCTGGACGGGTTGGATTTTCCTTTCCATTCGCGGAAAGCCGTCTGAGGACGGAAGGGACCTTTACCTGTCTTTCCTCTCATTTGCGGTGGGCCGTCTACAGACGCTTGTCTCCTGATGGTGCCGGGCACAGCCAAGCAGTGTGTTACGGCGAGTTGTCGGTTTCAATTTGTGTGGTTTTTGATACAAATATTTAAATATGAATTGAAAGTTTTTATTCCTTTGTGGATATTTTTTACAGAAACAATTAATTTACACTACGTCTTCTATGTACTACTTATCATATTAAATTATTGCGACTGTCAGATATACTATGAATAAAACGACAGAAATCGCCTTTAACGTAATACAGTCATTGCTAAATAAGGGGATAGATGGGCAATTACAACTCCGCATCACTAACTGCGATGTTAAAAATTGAGAACTATTTGTGTAGGAACATTACATTTGAACAGAAAAAGTGTTCCGAAAATATTGCGGAAAAAAAATTAAAGTGAGATGAGTACATTGCCTAAATCTCGGCCCCCGTTTTAGTGTTGGAATGGATGCATAAAAAGTCCGTCTGTATTTTAAGCACTAACCACAAGGATGAATTCAAAACAGTTATTACAAAGAGAAAAGAAATTTAAAAACCCGCGTGTATTCTTGATTATAATAAATCTATGAGAGGGGTAGATCTGAAAGATCAATACTCCGCGGAGATGGATTTCGTGAGGACGGCCTGGATCTGTGTCCTGGATTTTCTTTCTTCGAAGTTTGGCCTCCTGTTCCTCGGAAGGACAGGGGGTGGGTAAGTCAAGGAGTAGTTGAGGATTGAGACGGGTTATTTTGTCATGTAAAACTTCTCGAAAATTCAACCCTTTCTGTCAAAACTAGGCCAAAAGTTTACATTTTCAGAAACGCTCCAACGCCACTTTCTCAAAAACGGCACCAAATTTTTCAAAGGGATAGTCCCAATTGCACTTTTTAATACGAGTTAAGTTAATTTCGGGGAATTTGTGTTCCAAAAATTAGACAAATGTAATTTTTTGGAAAGATCTTTCACGCTGTTAATAAACACACTTTCAGCGATTTGTTAACACAATTGCATTTATGCATTAAATGTCTTCAAATGAGGTTTTTTAAAAACTCTAAAGGTTTCTGTGAAAAAGAGCTTCAAACTTCGTATTTCCAATAGCTCTTAAACGCTATTTTCTAAAAAAATGCACCAAATGTTTCAATGAAAATTGCCATTTAGGACGAGGGTTACTGTTTTTTAATATTCTTAAAATAAATATTAATAAGATACCGAAATATTGGGAGAATTTAATAAAAGTGTACTTTGGGCGTCGATAGATGGCAATTTTCAAGAGTATGTAGCAAGACAGAATAGCTAGCTAAGGCCAAAGAAAATAGAAAACTTATTAGCTATTATTCTGTAGCACCACTAGTTTTTAAGTGTACTCTACTATTAATAAACATAGATGTAAATGAATAAAACCTGTCAGTTATTTTAATTTTCCATTTTTAATTTTGATATTATGAGTTATTATTGATGGGAAGTGATGCATTCTCAGAAAAGAGCAATTTTCAGAATGGGGGAGCACAACGCCGCCTGAGCTCGGATGCTCCCGCAGCAGGTTTCGGCGGATGCTCTCGGCCGGCTACCTGCCCCCGCGGTGCCACTGACCACATCTTTCACTCAAACCCGCCTTGCAATCATAAAGTAGAGATATCTCTCCTCTATGGTTGCAATGCTGCCACGTTCACCCTCGGCACCGCGCTGAAGAGTTTAATATTTGCTGGTTCGGCACTTATCACTGCCACCTAGATTTCAATCCTTTGTGATGGTGGCCATCTTTGTGACGTCATTCTTAGAAGCCTTATATTTCTCTATCTATACTATTTATGCTTTCTGTGTACACTGTGGTTTCCGCAGACTGACGAGGTTTATTTGCATAATTATTAATTCAAGATTCGCTCTCGCGGCAACTAAAAGCACTATTAATAGTTGCTTGATATTTTTAAAGGAGTGTTGTGAATTGTTTCAAAAAGCTCTTGATAATACTGAATAAATTTTTAGTGAACATTTCTTTCACACATCAATTACATTATTTATTTTTATTTGATATTTTGTTAGTACAATAGAAGTTACTTTTATACATTTTTAAACAAAAATACGTTTCATTAACAACTTTCCCCTCTTTGAATGGAAATAGAAGTGAGGTTTAACACGCACGGCTACCTGGGGAGGGATAAACTTGTACTATGGCACAACACAGAACAATCTTTTTAAATTAATGTAAGTAAAACAGCTTGAAATAAATGAGCAAAAAAAATCAAAACACGCTAGCCTACAATATTACGTGAATGAATTTAAAATTTTAGAAACAACAGCCCAAGTAATTTGACAACTGTCAACATTACGATCAAGACACGATTTAAAGGTTGGTGTTATCTGGAAGTCAGTACAGCAATGCCCAGTTGTGAACGCATATTGTAAATAATACACCGTTTCATATTAACTTGAGGTGTCGGTTCGCTAAGATATACACTATGGAAACATTGTTTGATCAACATTCTTATGTACCAAAGTGAAGTACAAGCGTACAAATTTGTTTATAATGGTAACAAATGGTATTTGTTAATCAAAGGTGAAAATATTATTTTATTGTTTTTTATTATTCCTCTTAAAAATCCAATTAAATAAATATTTATTGAAAATTTGTTTGTTACGTCAATTGCATTGTTTTTATTTTTGTTTGATATTGTGTAAGTATAGTTACATTTTTTAACAAATAAACGTCTCATTAACAACTTTCTTAATGGAAAAGATAAGGAAAGGGTGAAGATTAGCATGCGAGAGTTCTCGCACATGTACCCTAGTATTCCTTTAAACCAACACCATCTAGATTACATCTAGTTGGTGTAAGTTAAACCCATCTACTCTTTGTGGTGATAATATTCCAACAATAATTCAAAAAATGTTTTTGTAATGTCTAGACTTTTCTGTCTAACAGAATTAGGAGCTGCTAACGCCTGCTCCACTTCTCTTTGAGTTCAGGAGCTCAACGAATGTAATGTACTCATTAGTGTTTTATTTTGGACTAACGTAAAAAGCTAATGAGGTTTATCAAATACCGCGTAATATTTTTGTCTAATTTGCATAACTTTCAAAATGAACATGCGTGTCATTTGGGTGCGGATTAAATTATTTTCAATTTTGTTCCATCCTTTTAATAGATAATGTTTTAATTGTGTATAAATTAATATAGGCTTGACGAATTTTTACGCTATGGTTCGTGACTCGTCGCAATGGCACAGTCACTCCCCCGTGTGCGTGCGCAAGTGGCTATTGAGTTCTTGCTTCTGAATGAAACTCTTGCCGCAATACTGGCAGAGATGCGGTCGCTCACCCGTGTGTATACACCTGTGAAGTCTAAGGTCATGCTTCTCGACGAATGTTTTATCGCAAAATTCGCACCCATACGGCCGGTCTCCCGTGTGCAGTCGCTTGTGCCGGGAGAGGTGGTGGGCCAGAACGAAAGTCTTCCCGCACACGTCGCAGGGGTACGGGCGCTCTCCCGCGTGCGAGCGTCTGTGAGAGACGAGATGGTGGCGCCGGGTGAAGGATGCGCCGCAAAAGCCGCAGCTGAACGGCCGCTCTCCCGTGTGCGAGCGACTGTGAGTCACGAGTTGGCTGCGCTTCGCGAAGGTAGCACCGCAACTGCCGCAGCTGAACGGACGTTCCTCCGGGTGCGTGCGCTTGTGAGCGACGAGATTGCATCGCTCAGTAAAGGAAACTCCGCAAACGTCGCAGGTCAGCGGCCGGTCCCTCTTGTGCGAGCGGATGTGTATGAGAAGACTGCTGCGCATTGTGAAGGAAGCTCCGCAATCGTCGCAGATGAACGGCCGGTCTTTCGGGTGGCTGCGACTGGTGAGGCTGCTGGACGACGTGGCGCTTGGGACTGGCTCTTCGCCCTGACCCTCGGGCAGCTGCAGTGGCGCCGTGCTCTCCTTTAATCCACTCCGCTGCTGGGTTGCCTGGGGCCCCACTGGCGGGAGACTGGCTCCTCCTAAACACACATGCAATTCCTCTTAGCAACATTTTGCTTCACAGCCCCAGTACATATTAGAGCCCCTCTGTGGCAAAGATGGGCGACTATACACCTTTGGAGGACCCTCAACCCTTTTCTCAACTCCAAAAAAAGATCTTGCACATGACGAGGGAAGGAGCGCTTTCTAACACTCGCAAAATCCAAGGTATGAAAATGTCACGTGTATTAAGGAGCCTTAGAAGAGCAGCACTTAAGGTTTTTGACGATTTTGATATATTATTACATTATGTAAGAAATAATGGACGTGTATTCATTTCAACAAAAGCAATGTCTTATGTAAAAAATATCGATTTCTTCGCATCAATATTTGTATTTAATGTTAAAACGTTTTACTTTCTATGTCAAATAATGGCCGACGTTTCTTCATAACGTGGTAAAGAATTAAAAAATATTTTTGTGAACAAGCATTACAAACTATATTTTCTGTTGCAAGAAATCGTTCATATCGGGCATTCTATGGCACAAATGACGTTTTAGCATTTTACGGGACGAATGATTGCGTCACCATACATTCAGCCAATCGCAGCGAGAGAATCGTGGGGAGGTAGAGGTAAACGGAACAGCCGACTACCGTTTTCTCACACAGATGTCAAATACCCCAGACGTCACAAGAAAGTTTCGCAAAATTAAGTTTGATTCTCTTACAAATTTATAAGGCTGTTATACAAAACTAGTGATGCTAAAATAGTACATACTTTCTCGCCCTTAATTATACTTATGTAATACAATTTTGTAATAAATAATAAAAATCAATGTTTAATTATTTTAAATTTTAGCTATTCCTTTTGCTCGTACATGAAGCCCCTGAGGAATTTTCAAAACAAAAAATTGTTGTTTTTTATTGAAAAATGATTGTACGATAAAATGAAAGCCATTTATGTTAATGGTGCGGGTCTTATTTTCGTTGAAAACCCTGATTTTTCGAATCTTGCAAAAATACAAAACTTGTTCTACATTCTAATTTCTATCCATACGAGGGTTGCCTTTTATATTTCAGGATTAGAGAACAAAAACAAATATTAATCATCGAAAATCAC